TCAGCAGAGAGACAATAATCAAATATAATAAAAAACAGGGCATTTGCCACCAGGAATAATCTTGTTTAACAGGATAAATGTTACTTCTCATTCTATTCACAGTAACTATTAGAAAAAGCATAGTGAATTTTCAATAACATGAGGCAATTTAAATTGCATTTGCTCCTTAAACATTCACTTTTCTTTTTTTTTCACTTGCCCACTACATGGCAAGAACTCTTCAGTACTTAATTTATAAGCTTTATTCAACCTTCCCTGTTTATTTTAACATTTCATTTATAAAGAGTTCTTTTATTCATGAAAGTAGCAGTGTAGCTTCTTTTCATCAACGATAACTTTATTTTAGAACTGTCCCACAATGGGGGGGGCAGACTGCTTGGGATAGAAAAAAGGACTTTATTTGCAAAATCATGTGTGGTAGATTATACTAACGCTGAAAGCTAGATAACTTTAATTTTCTTTGAAAATAAATACAGAGAAATAAAACAACACCTATAGAAGTAAGTACAATAAGCATGTCTGCATACACACAGGTCAACACATAAGAGTTGGTACAACTTTCAAATTTGGCAGCAGCTAGTTTTGTTGAATATACCTTTTAAATAATTATAACCCAGTTCTGTCATGCAGGCGTGAGCTTAACTTTAAATAGATGTTTAACAGCAAACATTTCCAATATCTCTAGAATGCTTGAAGTCTGGACATCGTGGTGTCCAGTAACTTCAAGTTTATTGCAGAGTGGAACCTTTGCAAATAAATAGTTATTATTTTCATTTACACAAACCATATACTGTACAGTGAGCTGAAGAGTAGTACTCTCCAATCTTGGAACTGTCAATGCTCATTGTGTTGATGGCTTGAGATTGTCAAGCCCTCAAACAGCTTTGTTGGCTGATACACATCACCAGTGCTCCAAATTTTTTTCCTAGATAAACATCTGAACCCCAATACTGCAGAAAAAAAATGTTCTCATCTCTTTCTGTAAGAGGCAACTAACCCTGCAACAGAAGCAAGAGAAGGGACCTCACAAGGGGCAGCAAGGTGTACAGTCATATCTGCTGAGTTTGCTGGGCTAGTAATCCCTCCATTGAGCGGCAGCTGGGGCAGCAATGTCTTCAGCACTTAGACACCGAGCCTTCTAGAGCTTACCTGTCAAAAATCCAGCAAAATCCCTGCCTGATGCTAAGGCTCTTCCACATGTGGCCTACTGGATTTTCAATGTGTGAAGTCTTCTGCTAGTTGACCTAGTTTTTTTCTATAACTAAAAAGATGAATTAGACCCTCCTTTGTAGTCCATTATCAGCTCCTGAGTCTTTGGACAGAAGAACACATTCACATTTCTGAACATAGTTAATAAGGTAGTTTCCTTAGCTAAACAGAAATAAAACTGTGTACAAAGATGTACTGACAGCATTTTGACCCAATTGAGGACACCTGGCTTGCAGTTTAAATTCTTGCTTCCCAAAGTCTTGCTTCCCAAACTTGCTTTATTATCCGCAGAACCTCTATTGCAACCTGACTTTCCTGGCCTGCTTCTCCTCCTAACCAGCCTTCTCACACTTGACTTTAGAAGTCCTTCCTTTGCAAGGTGGGCTCAACACAGGGGTGTATTCTCTTTTCTCTTTTCTACTGTTATTTTGAGATGCCTTCATGACAGGGCTCACATGGTGATCGAGACTTTCTTGGCCCAACGAGTTCCTGAGCTTTTGCTAAAGAACTAGGTGACTTTTTTATTTCTTTTTTTTCCATTTTTTTTCTGCCACTTGACCCCGGGTTTTTGTTGTCATGCTGAGCTGGCAAGGACATGTTATTTCTCTTACCTAATTTGGCTTTTCATATCCTGCAAGTTCATCACAGATCAGAAGAACACATGAGAAAAAAAAAACAAACAAAACACCCCAAAATATAAAGCAAAAAAAGTGACACGCAGTTCACATTAGTCACCAGGGCTAGCAGACAGCATAGCAAGTTTTGGTTCTAATGTGGTTTTTAGTACTCACTAAAGTTTCAGTGGTAATATTTTGGTTCACCTGTGGGACCTGAGTGATTACTTGACGGTAGAGAAAAACTGCATTCTACTGAAAAAAACCTGAACAAGTCACCAGTATATCCCTGGCAAAGAATTTTCCGAGATGCTGCCACAAACTGATCTGAGGAGAGGTCCTAGTCTCTACTAGCTCCATACCTCCACACTCCTTAGCCCCAGTGAATGTCACTATTTCAGCAGATTTTTTTTCCTTCTGCTCTCCCATCCTCAGCTCAAAGCAACATAGGACAACAGGGAATTCAGTTGCACCCTCCCTCTCACTTTACATGAATCCTTTAGCCAGTAAGGAGAGATGCCGTGATAGTTGCCCCCAAGTCTTCCTGCCTTTCCATGTTGTATGGAAGGCAAATTAATACATAACAGTCTAACAGAAGGTGGGCTTTTATTTCCACAGTCAGAGAAGTGTATTTACTTTTTAATCTCCATTTTATTGAGTACGTAAGTATAGATCTCATCTCTGCAAGCTCTAGAGAGAGAAAAGCTGGAGAGAAAGAAAAATCTAACATAAAAAAGCCATACTGCTTTAAAAAAAAAAAAAAAGAATTCAATACAGAATTCCAAAGAGTCCGAACAAAGATGAATTCTACACAAGCAAACTCCAGTTTACAGACTGCTTATTTACACAGCCCAGTGTCTGACTTCTTACCCTGGAATAGTTGTTACTTGCATAGTAATCAAGACCACGCTTACTACAGCTGTTGCAGAGTGAATGAACCCTCTTCTCAGCTAAACAATGAAGGAGTTCAGCCAAAACAGTCATCTAAGAAGGCACCAAGCAGTAGAGACTGGGGAAAGAAGCTGACAGCTGAATCCAACTAGGCAGCCAAAAGCATCTCCTAGGCAGAAAAGCCACAAAAACCCCAAAGGGCTTTTCTACATATGCAGTTTCTTCTGATTATCTTCATAAGGTTTACATGCTAAATCCACTAGGTTACACTAAATTTCCAAGCTAATCTACTCATGCACAAAGTATAGGCTTTGGAATAAGCATGCCCACACTTTAATTGTTTGGGAATTTTGTAACCCTTTGGCAGTCCGTAGGCTTTTTAGTTTGTTTGCCCATACAGTACAGCTGCTGGTTCAACTCAAAATAACAGTTTTTAATATCCATTTGCAAAGCTATTCCAGGAAATTTCTCCTTGTGCTAAGACTGGAGCACAGTCATGTAGTTCATTCCTTGTCACTAATAGAAATAAAGTATAAGAGTAATCATACTATTTGAGTAACTCTTCGTATGAAGAGGCTCCTGCTGTCAGTTTACCAAGCACATATCATATTTCAAGTAAATGCCTTTATCCTAGCAAAAACCTGTAACATGGCACCTGATGTGAGACTCTCATTTTGAACCCCATTCACACAAGAATATAATGATCTTTCCTAGTAGTCTTACAGATTGCAGAAAATAAGAAATACTGTGAGTCTCTCTTTTTTCAGGATTTTTTGTTGTTGTTGGTTTTGGAATTAAATTTTTTTTTTTTGAGGGACAAAGATTGTGGATTTGGTTTAGTTGTTTTTTTAACTTTTTTCTTTCAATTTTGAGGGTTTTGAGTGGCCAATGCCAAAGTGAGAACTCTAAAATAAGTTCTCTACTTTCTTGACAAGATATATGTGACAACTTCAAAAGATGATGACAACTTTGTTACTATGCTCAAGGATGTAGAAATAAATTATAAAGAAAGTGTACTTTTTTTAAAAAAAAAGTATGTTACTCTGTAGGAACAATACAGGAGTTTTGCTTCACAAAGCTATTGTAGTTAGAGCCCTGAACCATGCTGCTTTCAAGTTGAAATGTGAAATACCTTATAATGCCACTTGCCAAAATACAAAACGCTTGTGACCTGGCTAATGAAAACACTACAGAACAATGTAAACATGCCAACAAATTGTGTACATCTTATAAAGAACTAGACATTTGGATAGAGCAGCAAACCTTCATTACTCAGAATTAGCAAGCTTCAGTGTGTAATGAGGACAGTGAAATGCCTAGCCAAAAAACACACAGGCAAAAAAAAATTTGAAAAAGAAACTTATAAACCCATCCTCTAACTAATGTTCTTAAAATTCACTTGAGACATGTGCAGAGGTAGTTTATAAGCTTCAGCTTCTGAAGACCAAGGCAATAGGGAAGTATTGAAGAAAAGTAATGCAAGTTACAAACAGATTCAAAGAGAACTTACTGAAGAAAGAAAGTGTGTTTCAATGGAACAGAAAACAAGTAGATTTTTAAGCACTGGTTGATGATGAAGAACATACACTCATGTAAAAAACACATTTGAAACAGCACAGTGATGTGTATTAAGAATCATGCCACTGATTTAAAAAAATTACACACCTCATAGTCAAATGTGATATATGAGTCTTCTGTCTCTAAATTCCAAAGAATTTTTTGAAAATCTGGTCCATATTGCTTGAAAACATGACTTTAATCTATCATTTCGAATTCTTCATGCAAATCAAATCCTTCATCACCCTACTACTCCCAGTGGTAAATAAAAGATCATTATCAAACATTATTTTACATAAAAAACTAAATTCCAATTAGGTGAAAAAATTTATCCACAAATATACATTATATATATCTAAATCATAATAAAAATTTCAGTTGTAAAGAATGTTTTAGTGAGGGACAGACACAATGAGAATGGAAATGGTAATAGAGGACCTGTGAGGTTCAAACAGAAGTCTGAAGGCTAATTCTTCTGCATATTTCCTAAATGTTTTTGCTCATGCAGAAGGTGGTTATAGTGTTCTGTATGCACATTGATGAGCACAAAAAACCACTGATTGCATGCTGATCTTTAAAGAGAGAATATTTTAACTTCTAACTTGGGCTCTGCATTTTGGGATTTTTTGTTTGATTAATTTTATGAAGTCAAATAAACTGAATCTTTTGACAAACAGCTGCAGTCTTGGTCAGCAAAACAAGAAGATAACTTCTTGTTAAAACACATACCTCTGTCAGGAATGATTTGGCTGTCGAAGGGTTCATTATGAGAATAGCCCGTCTCAGGGTATCCCGGTAGCGGTTCAGTTCTTCTATTCGCATAGTGGCAAAGAGCCCCGTGATCATTTTATTAATGTTGTTTTCTACTTTCTGCAATGCTACATCCATTCCCTGTTGAGATACTTTGTCTAAAAACTCTTGTATTCCACGGATATCTGAAAAAATCAGAAGGCAAACAAGATGTTAACTGTTACATGAAAAAAAAAGACACAAATAACTGATCACAACATCTCACAAGATGTGTTTTGTCAGGTAGATCCCTACAGGCTTTCACTTAATATTCACTAGACCTCCTCCTAGGTCTAAAGCTATGCTCATTGCATTTCTTTAAGTACTAAAACAGGAGAAAGATCACCTACTCTTCAAAAGAGCCACTAGATAACAAACTTAAAAATACTTCTAGCAACTTTCCTAATTTGGTGATTTAATCATCACACTTTCTTCTAATCTTTCTTGAAGGACTTCCACACTGAAATCCATATAGAGAAGTGAAGCCATGGTGACCATCACATACAGTGCTTCCTTCCAGTGAGGGTTGTTGGAGGGCAGCTGAGGAGGAGAAAAGCAGGAAGGACATGGTTTTCTTTTGTGAAACTCAAAAATATGTTATCCACCACCATTCTGTGTAGCTCATGTATCTAAGCGAAGCTTGGGCTGTTCACTCATCAAGAAGTCTTAATGTTGTTCTAAATTTCACATCTATTTATTTCCTTCAAAAACAAAATAAAAGCCAGGTGTACAGTTGCAATGGTACTGCATGCTCTCATCTGAAAGTGCCTCTGCTGGTTGAATTTAACAACTTTTTGACAGCACAATGTGCTAGGAGAGCTTTCTGGCTTAATCTTGAGTTAATCCTTCTTTAAAAATGATGTAGGAAGAATTGATCAGTAGAATGCTAACTGTTTTCACTACCTAGTTTAAAATACCTATAACATCTACCAAACTTAAATGTCTGGGCACTCCTAACATTGTTATGCTGCTTCAAGGTGTTCCAAGACAAAATCTTGATTTTTTTTTTTCCTCTGCCGTTTTGAGAGGCATTATCTAAAACCTCTAGCTTTAGGTTTAAAATTTAAAATCATTCAATGACTTCAGAAGTCAGATCAGTCAGATCAGGGTCTTCCGGACCTCAGGAAAATTGCTTCTGCCTCACTGAGTCCTCACTGTCTGACCCCTACTCACCACTGCAGTTTCTCAATCTTTTTCCTGGAGCTAAGCCACTGCTTCCCTAATGTGACTCCTCTCTCTGGCAGTCACTCTGATCTGCTGTCTCAGAGGACACTCAGCAGGACATCCTTCCTTCCTACTGGCATGCAAGCTTCCTGTAAACCCAACTGATCTCATTTAAGGGAACAAGACATAGCCTTAGAGTCAACACAACAGATGCTATGTGACAGAGACACTCTGGGAAAAAAATAGAGAAAAAGGAAACCAGTAACTCAAAATAAACATGAATTTCTGAAGAAACATTTCTTTGAAAATAAAGGTTCCTCAGGTTTTGAAGGGTGTTTGTGGTTAAAATCAACAGAAAATGTTTCTCACATTAGGATACTAAATCTAGTCTCTCCTAGGTGCATAGTCTTAGATCCAATCTCTGAGGGATTGCAGTTCCTGCTCTGCTTCCCTCCTTCATCCCAGGTGCTCTATCAGTTCCTCATCCCAATCACTCATTTTCCAGGGGAATGGTCAGACTTGAAGTTACAGGTAGGTTATGTGTCTTTCTTCATGAAACCTCTCATACTTGAGTAAACTTCCAATTAGACTTTCACAACTGCTTGGCTACTCAGATCTTTCATCCTGACAATAGGAAGACCTATTGTCTTCCCCTACTCCCTGCCCTTCTTAGGGGGGACGCAAAGTTGGGGAGACTCTATTTAATCCTAACATGGGATGAGTAAATATGGGATGAAGAATCTCAAAAGCATTCATACTAATGGAAGCACCTTAGATACAGTTCACACACGATGCCAGAGGACAGCAAAAGACTGGAAAATCAGACTGAAAGCAGACTGGAAGGATGCCTAAGCACATCAGAGTCTAAGCCCTGGAAGAGATGTCACATAAATAGTCATGAAGTCTACCAGGAAAGGGCTCTTGGCTGGCCCTTAACGTGGACTATTTTCAGGTGATACAAGTGTCACCGTGCTCACACATTGTGATAGCAGCTGAGGGGAACTCCATGAGAAGCCACAGGAAACAGTAGGGCATGTAACTGTTTATCAGGATTGTGATAGCTACATTTTAATAGGGGTACACTGACAGGTGACAGCTTTCAGAGGAACTGAAGCCCATTTTAAGACCAGGGAAAATAATGAAAATCAATTCTTTGGAGAAAAATTTGTAAGGAATTATAAAATTTCTCTCCAGAACTGCCTAGACCGCAGCACCCTCCATAGCCATTCAGAGAGCAGTGCTACAAGCATCAGCTGTGGTCAGTCCTGCACACATGAGGCGAACATGCCCAGGGGTCTGGGCTGCAGGGGAGAATTATGTAACTCCCCCCACAGTAAAGCACCAGCTACACGACAGATACACATGTGCGATGCACCCTTGAGAAGACTATGGAGATGTCACATGTGGATTTAATATGGGAACTACAATGGTGAAAATATAAGAGCAGTGTGACTAAAGGGTAGCTAATGACCACAGCAGACAGACACTACATGGTCCAAAGGGAGACTAGGAAGAATAATCCAGCATCCAGACCTGATGGACCTTCAGGAAAAAGCTCAAAATACCTGAGATAGGAATCTTTATGCTGACGTTGCTGGGAAAACTGTACCAAAATTCAAGCATTCCTCTTTTCCAGTTCTAGGGAATACTCTTTTTACTGAGCTATACATTTGGGGATTTGATGGGGTCCAACATATCCCAAAGTTTAAAGGTTCTGACAAACACGGGTCATTTTAGAATTTTACTTCAGGTTATGGCAAAATAAAATAGAGAGGTTCTGGGTTGCACAGAAGTAGAGCAGCCCTATCAAGAAGATCTGAGGCTTAGACACTCACATTGCTTATTTTTGGCCACAAACAGTAGCATAAGGAAAACAAAGTTCAGTCTGCCTAGTAGACAAAATTTGCTGCCTGCATCACCAGCAGATATGTACTAACTAGAGAATATTACAGACAGCCATCCTCCTCCAGCACCAGAATACTGAGATGCTTCAAATTATAAAGAAGTAGTCATGCAATAGCTTACAATCAAACAGTACACAAAAACAATTCAACAGAGTTAGTCCTAGAAGTCAGACTGTCACAATCAGCAAGTTGGGTCTCCTGTCTAGACCTCTAAAATACCATGAACTGGAAAGAAATGGTATTTTAAGCATTTAGGCTATTTTAGACATTCATCACCAAAACCTCATTCTCTAGACACTGTCAAAATATCAGTATTACTAAACACTTGTAGGATAGTTTAACCATGAACAAAATACATGCATACCCTAAAAATAAAGTTCCATAAGAGAATCAGATACTAATTACTGCTTCTATTTAATATCTAAATCAGGAAAATTAGATTCAATCTAATCAGAGATGTTAGAATTTTTCTGGTGCTTTAAATACCAACAAGATTATTTGAAGTGCTACAAATATGCTTAGTTTTATGCAAATGATAAAATAACTTCTTTCTACTTTAACCCCTTCCTTCTAAAATTCCTGAGGCTCACCCACTGAGGATTACTGAACATGCAGACAAATTAAATAAAAAATGGGTGAAAGTGACCAGTTGAACTCAAAATTACTGAAACACAAGGAACACATGTAGATGGGATCTAGATACACTAACAAACTATCAGGGAGAAAACTTACTCAGGCTAGGAAAGCCTTTTTAAAACTCAAATTCTATCTCATAAATTCTTGTATTCTTCTCTGACACCAGAACAAAGTAAGTAGGAACCACTAAACGAAGACCTTTTTCAAAACAAGAACATAATTTCACTTGACTTGAATTTATAGACACACTGCAGTTATTGACTGATACCCTCCATAATCGATATTGACCCAGAAGCCATATTATGGGATCAAATGGCTTTCCTTGCCATGAATATTTGCAAATATAAAAAATGAAACAATCATATTGAAACCTCACTAAATGATGGGACATAAAGGAGAGAGGTCCAGTATTACTCTATAGCTCTACATTTATTAGGTGACCATGCCAACAGTATTGTACCTGTGTGATATGTTTTTAGGAAAAGATACCAAATCAGGATTCGTGAAACTTCTTCACTACTTCTGTCTTTGGCATTGATACAACACAAAAATATGGGCAGGAAATAAATATAGATTCCGCTTATACCTCAACTTACCCACTGGAAGAATGGAGATATTGGTGATGCTCACCTGCTGCCACGAAACAGCAGAGAACACATAAAAACACCCTGCAATTTGAATGCTATTTAAATCATGATGGTACTTGCAATATTTCAGCAGCAAGTCACGAGCAATGATCATATTCAAAGCGTATGCCAAAGAACAGATGCTGCCACTGAATGGGCAGCATTATCTTTCCTGCGTGGATTGTCTGAAAGTGGCACATATCCACACTGAACTGTGGAATCATCTTTCTAATAGATAAACTCCTTCTGCAGAAAAATCTGGCAAGCAACCTGTGGCACAGATGGTTTTGCTGTGGAGACACAGGACTGTTCATGTCTGGAACACAGGTGTTTCACGCCCTGAATTTGCTAGCCAACATGTTGCCCAGCCAGAAGTCCCATTTCTATTTTCTATTTAGATCAGATGAGTCACAGTTATTGCCAGAAATGCAGAAGAGTTTCCCATTATCACCAGTATTGATTATCCTCCTTAGTGATGAAAGCCCAAGTTACCACACAGAGACAGACCAATGCTAAAGTTGCTATCTCCTCTTCCAGCTCAGTGTCACTACAGTGCTACATTTCCTGTTTTTCACTGTACAGCTATCACTTCCTGTGTACACGTGTGAACAAAACCAGAGTACCCCTCCCCAGTCAGCATCACCCATAGAGTTAAACCAGGTCAGAAATCTAAAAGAAACACTACCAAACATTCTCTTTATAACCAAAACTGTGTTCAGTTTAGGAGATTGTGAGGTTGATCTGGAAACACTAATAAACAAAGAACAAGGCAAGCAAAATTTATCAAGGACTGTGCTGGAAATGACCTTCCTTTTA